TGTCGTGTCTGCACGTTTCTGGTAAATGATTATGCATTTCTAATGGCAAACACAACGCAGTACTGGAAGCGTGACGCAATCACAAGGCCTAACGATCCCTGTAGATCTATGTCCCGGCAATGTGAAGGGAAATAAAAGAAGCACACGTAAACCAAGATAATAGGAGCACAAGTTCATCTAATGAATTTCTCAAAATGACAATACTTAGAAACAGATCTATAGCTGTGTGACCGTCAGCAAATTTGACGAAGGTCTATTTAAAGATCTTTTCACCAAGGTCAGTGAACAAATTTGATTCCCATTGATTCGGGAGTCAATACAATTGTGTGCATTCGTTGACGCGGGTAGCTTTTCCATATAAAGACGTACACTGTTTTGTGTTTGCACGCGTCTTATACATGATTGAAGGATCATTATGATGAAATTGGAAGCGTGACGCAATCACAAGGCCAAACATTCACTGTACAAAATAAAAGTAGCACAAGTCATTTCAGTTCAATTTATTGCTGAAATATATAACAAGACATAAAAAAATGTCATAAAGAAAGAAATTATGTTAGATCTTGACCAATGTATCAAATCTAACAGGCGCTAAACAAGCTATCTTTAGTTCTAGCGATTGTTTATGAAAGGCACGAACTAAGAATAAGTTGAATATCATTTGATGACTTAACGTTAATTTGTATTTAGATTTAATCACGACTTTGAAAGTGTTTGATTGCACTTCTGAAGCAACAACTTATCGGGTATGAACGTACTTTGTTTATAAAGCTTATATCTAACACACTTACCAGAACTAAAGGTAATGAGCGATTATCAGCATACAACCCGTAAAACCTGACCGTGATTAACATCATTGCGCTTATCGACTTCAAAATAACCAAATATAGTGTGACACATATATGATGCAATACCCTCCTTCCTCCACGCGTTTACGGTCCGGTTGGCGCGTGGCATAAAATGGGAGCTAATCAGTGACAGCACAGCCGCAGCACGTGACCTCAAACCCCAAACTATCCTTCCCCTCCCCCGTTTGGTTCATCAAGTTCACTTGGTTTCATCATCCCCCGCGCCTTAGCTTGCCCTTTTTCAAATTTTCGAGGTCATTTTAAAACTCTGTACGTAGCCCGACTTATTCAATGCTAATAACCAAAATATTTATCTACCGTTGGATGTGACTATGATATTGTTAAAGTTAAAATAAATACTGACTGGATTGGACGGTTGTATTTTATGAAATAAGTGTAACACTGACAGGTAATGACGGAGGTTAATCTGACAAAGCATTGCTGTACTGACTGATTATGAGGGATGTATCAAGAGAGACAGTTTTATATTGACTGGATATGAGCGATGAATCAAGAGAGACAGTTTTATATTAACTGGATATGAGGGATGTATCAAGAGAGACAGTTTTATATTAACTGGATATGAGGGATGAATCAAGAGAGACAGTTTTATATTGACTGGGTATGAGGGATGTATCAAGGGAGACAGATTTATATTGACTGGATATGAGGGATGTATCAAAGAAGACAGTTTTATATTAACTGGGTATGAGGGATGTATCAATGGAGACTGTTTTATATTGACTGGATATGAGGGATGTATCAAGGAAGACAGTTTTATATTAACTGGGTATGAGGGATGTATCGATGGAGACAGTTTTATATTGATTGGGTATGATGGATGTATCAAGGAAGACAGTTTTATATTAACTGGGTATGAGGGATGTATCGATGGAGACAGTTTTATATTGATTGGGTATGATGGATGTATCAAGGAAGACAGTTTTATATTAACTGGGTATGAGGGATGTATCAAGGAAGACAGTTTTATATTAACTGGGTATGAGGGATGTATCAAGGAAGACAGTTTTATATTAACTGGGAATGAGGGATGTATCAATGGAGACAGTTTTATATTAACTGGGTATGAGGGATGTATCAATGGAGACAGTTTTATATTGATTGGGTATGATGGATGTATCAAGGAAGACAGTTTTATATTAACTGGGAATGAGGGATGAATCAAGAGAGACAGTTTTACATTGACTGGATGTGAGGGATGTATCAAGAGAGACATTTTATATTGACTGGATATGAGGGATGTTTCAAGAGAGACAGTTTTTTTTGACGGGATATGAGGGGTGTATCAAGAGAGACAGTTTTATATTGACTGGGAATGAGGGATGTATCAAGAGACACAATTTGTATTGACTGGATATGAGGGATGCTTCAAGAGAGAGAGTTTTATATTGAGTGGATATGAGAGATGTATCAAGGGAGACAGTCTTACATTGACTGGATATGAGGGATGGATCAATAGAGACATTTTATATTGACTGGATATGAGGGATGTTTCAAGAGAGACAGTTTGTTTCATTTTTGTTGACTGGATATGAGGGATGTATCAAGAGAGACAGTTTTTTTTGACGGGATATGAGGGGTGTATCAAGAGAGACAGTTTTATATTGACTGGGAATGAGGGATGTATCAAGAAACACATTTTGTATTGACTGGATATGAGGGATGCTTCAAGAGAGAGAGTTTTATATTGACTAGATATGAGGGATGGATCAAGGGAGACATTTTATATTGAATGGATATGAGGGATGTATCAAGGGAGACAGTCTTATATTGACTGGATATGAGGGATGGATCAAGAGAGACAGTTTGTTTCATTTTTGTTGACTGGATATGAGGGATGTATCAAGAGAGACAGTTTTATATTGACTGGATATGAGGGATATATCAAGAGAAACAAATGTATATTGATTGGGTATGAGTTTCGCACGTCGGATAACGGAGTGTTATACCTGACTAGATATGACTGAAGTGATGTATTGGACGAGGCGGGCTTTACACTAACTGAGGGTTGCAATGGGTGAGGCAATATTATACTGACTGGGTATAACTATGTAAGTACACCGACAGAGGCACAGTGCTACACTGGCTTGATATGAGGGATGTATTGGATTTGATTAGTTGCATCGGTCGAGACAAAGTCGAGGCTAGAAATATAAAAACCTTATAAACTTGGGTAAAAATAAATTGTCAATAACTAATTGATACACTCATTTCTCTAGATCACTAATAACTTTGGCGCTAACCGCCATGAACATTGAACAAATGCAGTTCAGTCCTGTTTTGTTGTGATTGCTGCAGAAACTTTGTATTTTTATTTCAATTAATCTCTAAATTTTAGATTTTTGTTAGATCTTTATTCACGCCATTTGATATCACGTTAGTACTAACTACTTATCTTATCTTCTATCTACAGAAGAGCATTAGGGCCATGTCGAAAAACAAAATATTTTCTTTTTTTCGTGTTAATAACTCGAAATTTCGACTTACTAACTCGAAATTTCGACTTACTAACTGGAAATTTCGAGTTATTAACACGAAAAAACTAAAAAAAATCGACATGGCCCTAATGCTCTTCCGTATCTATCACTATTAAAAATTTGTTTTCATATGTTTTTTTGTTCAATTCAGAAACAGATTCGGACACAAGTTATAACCAGTTTTAAGTCGCCCTCTGTATTGCTGAAAATACAATACATATATTCAATATTATTCAATAAAGTTATCACATTTATAAGACATTCTCTTTCTTATATAAAAATACAATGTTACGGTGACTGTTAATTAACAATTGAATTGAATTCAATTCAATTCAATTTTATTGCATGTTTCACCAAAACAATATATATTCAAAGGATTGAACAGCAAATAAACAAATAACAAAATACGTATACACAATATGAGCATTATTATGAAACTAGACACGTTTGCAACACTTTATAGCACGTCCTATTCATGATATTAAAATAAAATGTTACAGTGATTGTTATAATATTTATTTGATTTACAACAATTGATAAGACGTCTTCGTCCATATACAAAACACGATCAATGGTACAATGACTGTTATACTTTTTTAATTAGTTTACAACAATTGGTAAGGCACCCTCTTTCTTATATCAAAATAAGATATTGCAGTGATTTTTATATCATTTATTTGAGTTACATCAATTTATAGGACGTCCTCTTCTTTAAAACACAATGCTATTACCATACTGTTATATTATTTAGGCACACACTGATACAACTGTTAAAAAAATGTACATTGTATGATAACCAGACAGCATTAAATATCAGTGTTATTTTCTATAACGACTTAGGAATACCAGTTATTCGAGTATACCAGAATCCTGAATGTCTGTTACAAAGTCCACGAATGTTACATACATATGCAGACGTCTATATGAAAAACACATATGTAAAAGATTAATCTCTATAATGCCTTTCATCCTTGATAGTGCGGAGCTACCACACAGTATATATACCGGCCAAGGTTACGGCTTGGTTTCCATGTTATAACGGGTTCCTGGTTTAGACTGATCCTACATTAACGTACTTTAGATTGTTGACCGATTTTCTAACCACTGCGTGCGCCGAGCACACACAGGGGAAGAACGTACTTAATATATGTTCAGTCAAAATTTATATGAAATAATTATTCAAGCGTTGTAAATTGTTATTTGTAGATAATCCTGTTTAGAATATGATTGCTACAGAAGGTAAGTGTAGCCTGCCGTGGGAAGGAATTCGATGCAGTAGTTTTATACAAAAGTTGCATTATTCTTCAACGTTTGCAGCGACATTATGGGAAAGTTAGCACTATCAATAAAATCACCTGTCCATTGCACGTATCTTTAAATCTCGGGAAAACAATTTGCGAAATCCCTTTACTTAAAAACAGGAAAGAAAAAAGAAAAAAGATCTTTATAGTGTTTGTATGACATAATCGTTTAAATCTATACCCCAGCTTTTATAAATTATCCTTTGTATGTTTTCGTAAACAAATGAATTAGAATTGGATGTCTCACATCTTTTGTAGATACCCTTCGATGGTCCTCTGGGATTTTCGGATTAAATCTAACCGTTTCGATTGGACAATTTACCACACTCCCCTGTTCGGTGGTATAATGATCCTACCGGCAACACATGCTAGGCCTTACTCCGTCGAGGAAACGTTGGCTTTGGTCGGTCAGAAATTTTCTTTTTACATTTGGTGACCATGGGGCATGCGGCGATATGTATGGCGTTTTTGTATTTCGCAACGATCGGATGCTTGGTAATTTCATCTCCAAGAAGGACAACAGGAGAAGGAGAAGAGAAACTAATTTTAATCGGTTCAAATTCCGATATTCATAACAACTCTGATGAAGACCCTGGTACCGAGGATCCTCGACAGACAAAATCTTACCACAAAGTAAAAGGAACTTTAAATATGGATGGAAATAATTTAGATTCATCCAAAACTGCAGATACTAACTCAACAGACGAGTATACAGCAATATTGAGCTTAAATGAGTTCAATAACAACAAAACAGAATTGGGTTCTTTAATAGGAACGGATAATACAGGTAATGAAACAAGTGATGGGATGAATAAAACAGTCAAGTCAAATCAAAGAACAATACCATCGGGTATCGTTACAGACGAAACAGGCGTGAAAACGAAAACTGATTCAAACCCAGGAGCTGTGGTGAACATAATTAAATTAAAGGAACAAGAGCATATTGAGAATATAAAGCGCCGTGTGCTTGAAAAATTGAGACTGGACGCACCTCCTAAACTCAGTGGTCCAAGGCCGGCGCTGCCCTTCAGACACCTTCATCAGGAGTACTTGAGTGATGGAGCGGATCCTGGGAAGAAGCGACGGACACTCCCGGAATTCTACGCCAGGAAAAAACAAGTTCTCGTCATGGGCACGGACGGTAGGTGACACATTGCTTCAAAAGTTTTGCTAATTTTCATTTCTAAACATTTTTCTTTGCAACACGGCGTTGCTTTTGGGAGCTATTCGGGTCAGAAAAGGTACTTTTAATCAAGTACGACCATGACCTTGTTGTGGTTGATTCCAGTCTAAGTAGCTTTAGTGTTAATATCAACGAACTTAACCATGTATTATATTTTGATAAAACGGATTATGTTAGATTAAAACCGAATATGGGTAATTATATAGCTATATTTCATCATCGACCGTGACCTCGAGGTACACTCGCGACAACACTCTGTTCATCAATATATTCCTATCATTGTTTCTTCTGAACCGCGGTATCTTTACCAAAGGAATGATAAGTAGAATTATCACACTAGTTTGTAATAATGATGCAACTCTATCGAGTACAAAGTGGAGGTTTATACATATTGTTTTAGACAGAGTTACAAGCGTTCCAAAACGCGTGCCACACAAACAATCTAATACACAGTACACTTTGTCTTATGTCACTTTTCATTCCATTTTACAGTTGTTCCATTTTACAGTACACGTAAGTTTTGCCGAATTCTTTGGGGAAAAACCCAATAAAACCACCTATGATAAATCACCCTGAATATTAATTGTGAGGCAAAATGAGTGTTATTTCTAATATAAACCCACCTATTGTGTGACAAACACTCCAGATTGACGTGTTCCTGTTCCTGTAAAATCATGCTTTTGTCCACAGCGAAATCATGCGCTTGTTCGTGGACAGTAAATATAATTTCTAGATGATTGACCTTCAGATTTAATTTTTACATCATTTAAGCAGGTATATAAACGCTGTATTGGCATATGGGACGCAAAAACCGTGAGCGACCAACGGATGGCCAAAATAACATATTTGACAAAAAAATGTGCTTACTCTAGGCTTACGTAGCTACGCCACTGACCTTTGAACTTTGTACTTTGAACAGCACACATGTTAGGAGCATGTTCGTGTTCCGGTTGAGCACCACGTTTTTTCTATTCAATACCAAGGTTTCATTGATTGACTTTTTTTTATAAGTTACTAGATTTTGAAATTGATTTGGTGATGAAGAAGCTCAAAATGATATTCAGCAATTTGTGGCTTTACTGTTATTATTTGTCTGACGCGGCGTGAAAAGAAATCCAGAACAGTTAAATATGATGTCGCAAATGTGTTCTTTTGCATGGCGTTTAATAAATGATGTCTAATAGAAGCAGGCGTAAATAGTTCAAATGATACTCCACATACGTGTTTGTGTACGAGTCTACAATAGCATAGAGGTTATAGGTACAAATCTGTAATACTGAAATTCGCACATGGATTTCCACAATTATGAGCCACAATAAGGAGTAACACTTGAATGCATAACTATTCAACTTCCTATGCGCGAAATGTTAATGATAGGCGGGTTGACTGTTTCCTGACAGTTTCAGATTCAAATTTAGCACGAACGTACCTTGAATCACGACCATATTCTCAGACCAATCTAAAACGATTTTATATACATTTAAAAAAAAAAGGCGGTTTAATTTCCGAAAGATGTCTTTTTTTCCATAACAGTCTCTTCGGTGACATGCTTAATGCTTACATGATGATTATTAATGTTTAGGAAATTCCCTGTCAAATTATATTTCTAAATCGTCTTCAGCGGTGATGTTAACATAATGTTTAATAAATATTACACAAGTTTTGTTTTTGGTTTTGTTTATTTAAAAAAGTAAAGGATTTAAAAAGAAATGTGTTTTCAAATGTCGGCTCTCCATTTAAAAGATCCAAAGGTCGAAAAATATCAATCTACCACATTATATTGGTAAGGGGTTTTACCAACCACAGTGACGAAAGGTGCTAACCACTTAATAAATACTAACGTTTCTCAGTCCGAAGTCTAACGAAATCACTTTGTTCTATATGTCTTGACATTTTCTGTTCGTTAAGTTTATAACAACAGTCAAATTTCATTCTTTTTAAACTATCTTGAAACCGCATTTACACTAGATATATAATAAAGTTATCCTATAATATATCTTAAACTAGTATAAGTCGAAAATATTTTACAAGATACATATTGTATTACATATCATATCAATTTCTTTAAAATGTATATCATAAAATGTATATTAAAGATGTCTTATATAGAATTAAGGTATATTTCATCTATACAAGATATTATGTATGGAAAAGCATATAAGATATATAATAGGTAATCAAGATATCTTATATAATGTATAAAATATAGAACATGAAATAAAGCTCGATGGGAGCGTAGCTGGACGGTTCTGCATTGAGCTTGCAGGACAACAATGCTACTTACCACATGTTATATCACGATAGCCTCTTTATTTGATCAAAGATTTAAGATATCTTGTATGTCATAAAGGATATTTTATACCTTTTCGAAATATCTTCTATAACTGATTTATATATGCATAATAGAACATATCATATAAAAATATAAGGTGAACCAAACCAAACGAGTGTTAATATCGCATCCTAAAATATATTAACATAACCGTAGTCTGTTCTGTAATTTTCGACATTTGCTGATGGGAGTGTGTATTTTTCGAAGGCGAATCTCGCTCTTTATAAGAGATTTCACAAACGAATTTATATAAGAAAACAAACGATTTCAGTTCTTTAGGATATCTGTATAAATTCTATACAATACATTTATAACATATCTCATATAATGTATCAAATATGTTATATACATTTTTTAATATGTTACTTTATAAAAGATATAAAATTTCTTATATTTTATATGACATTTCTGGTACATGTATATGTATTTTCTTAATAAAACCTTTTTTTAAGATATCTCATGAAAGATCTAAATTATCATATAGATTATATAAGATATCATACACATTTATCTTTTATGAAAATATAATATAGGTTATACAAAACTTCATATCATTTTATGAAATACGGGATCGGCATGATTCGTAGAATTAATGCTAAGTTCGCTAGCCAAAGCTTCACCATATGCTGTCCTGGTAAATGGGACTTTGTACCCTGTCACTTGTACCTACGTCAACGTGTATATTTACAGCTAAACACGCATAATTAATCCTCCACTTGTGTATTATCAACTTGTCGACATGCTTTATTACTGCACAGTAGGAAAGATGACAGCTCCTGACTTATCCTATCGTCGATTCTTGTTTTTCAAGGCCAAATCAGCTGTAGTGATGACGAAGGGCTAGGTCTATACTATCAACATGCTTTCTATTAAAATTTTGGTTTGCCGTCACACAAAACATGTTTGTGAGTGTCTCAGCCAGCTGAAACCACTTAAAAATGAACTAGATATTCCCTTTTTTATCAGAAATGCTGTGCGTTATGATATCCAAAACCTATCTTTGGAGTGAAATGTGCGGCAAGGCTCTAATTCATGGATAAAGGTCGTCGAGCCTAGAGGTCATTGACAAATGTTTATCATTATGATGTTTCTAGTGCGTGCCCTCTCAAAATAGTCTCTTGATACAATTTGCCGCTACAGCGCTGAGTTATTTACTGAGTTAACACACATGAAAAGTACTAATTTAACTTAATATTCACTCCACTTTTATAAACACAGAAATAGTTTGACAGCAAATAAAAAAAACTTTCCTTTTAAATTGTGAGCAAGCTAAGTAGACTCCGGTGTTTTAAAGATTAATAAAATAAACAAGTATTTTTTCCCTGGATGATGTTTCTCATGCGCTAGCGATTGATAAAATATTCCAGCATTTGTTCACATATTCCAAATTCGCGGGTCAATTGTTCTTGTTTTAAAATGCCTTCAGGCCCACTGGCGATATCTAGCTTAATATAAACAATCATTTAGTATCAATATTTTATTGAAAAAAATAGGTTTCATATTTGGAAAGTCACGTTTCTTTCATTTCTGTTTTTTTGTGATATTTTTCATAACGAGCAAGTTTGTTACTGAGTGAAGTTAAATGAATCAAGGCCATGCACAGTATTTGCAGTTTAATATAACTATGCCAATAATTGAAGTACCAGACTCGAGTGAAGTTTTATAACGACACTCAGATTTTCAGTGAATCGTTGCATTATTATTGACACAGAAGAATCATGCACGGTGTCAACAGAAGATTACCCCAGATCTGCCTTAGTGGCTGTGTTAACTGCTCACTCTCCCACACCAACTGTACGTTAGCGAGCTGTTACTCGATGAATAAAATAATCAATTGTAATATTATTACTACTAGCTCTTTTCTTAGCAATTATAAACTTTCCGAAATAAAGGTTCATATTAAATAAATAAATATTAAAAAAAAAGATGAACTCATAGGTTAAATGGTCTACACTGCACATGTATTGGAACATTTGCTTTAATTGATAGACGTTTAAGATTTTTAACTCATTCCACCCTGAAATTTCAAAATGAACTTTTCCAACCTTTGTATTTCTGATGACATTTGCGACTGGGTGTATGTGATTTCTCTGTTTGTTATGATATTTGCGACAAGGTGTTTGTGGATATTCACAACTGGCTTCTTTTGTTTTCAGTGACGACCGAATGCACCAACAGAAAGAGCACGGGTTGTTACCACTTTGACGTGGCGGGCAAGGTGAACCCTAATCACGTATTTGCGGCGGAGATTTGGATCTACAAACTTTTCAACCAGTACGACCCCCACCTCCAAACGTTCATTGTGTCTGAATTGAGGCAGGACATGCATGGTAGGCGCCGTCCTAAAAACATGGTCAACAGAGTAGAGACACATATGAAGTACGGGTGGCTGAAAATAGAAGTCAAGAGGTCGGTAATACGCTGGCTGCAGAAGCCACGCCAAAATGATGGTATTGCAATTCTTTGCAAAACTTGTAAACGAAAAAATCCCAGGACAATATTTAGTTATAAAAATGACACCAGACCATTTTTGGTTATAACTACTAAGAAAGGACACAACATCCGCAAAGCACGGAGCACACCACGAATATGCACTGAGAGATCGACGGAATGCTGTATGAAACCCCTCACCATTAACTTTCACGATATTGGCTGGGACAGCATGATTCGCCCGGTATCGTTCCAGGCCAACTACTGTTACGGCTCATGCGAAGGTAAAATTAAAACAGAACGTAGACTAATCAAAAGTCCTTTAACACAGTATACAATAGCTATGATATCATTCATCAGTTGATTTGCTCTGTATAGTATACTTTTTACCAAAACGCGTAAATTATGAAGCTTGATGGTTCCAAGTTCGAATACCGGTCTGTCTAAAACAAAATGCATTTTAATACCGGTGCAAATAACGGTAGTTCTTGTCACTTTAGTAAACGAAAAAAGACTCCACGTTTGAAAATATTTCAAAGTTTAATAAATTTACAACCAGGTTTATCCTATATGTACATTATTTTGCGTTTGATTCCTTGCAGCCCAGAATCAGGCCCATTACAACCACACCCAGATGATCCAGGACCACCGCTGGAACCAGGACGAATGGAACATGATGCGACAGTTGACGCCGTGCTGTGCACCGATCTCGTACAGCTCGTTGTCCATCATGTACATCGAAAACAATGACTTACAGGTGGATTTCGTCCCAAACCTAGTAGCTACAGCCTGTGGATGTGTGTAATATGTTTATAGGGTGTGGATATGTGGAGTGACCACGGTCCGTTGTTATGTCAGTTACAACGGCTTGTGGCTGCATGTAGTTACCAAGGTGTTTCGCTATGTGTAGTGACCACGGTTTGTAGTCATGCGCAGTTGCAATGGTATGTAGTAATGTGAAGTGACCATGTTGTAAGGCTTTGGGTAGTGTTCTAAAGGTATGAACTGACCGCAGTACGTGTATTGACATGAATGTGTATTTACCACGATGTGAGTCGGTGAGGTGACCAAGATGCGTGTTTGCTGTGTGGCTATATGTAGTGACCAGTGTGGGACTTTTTTATGACGGAGATTTAAGATTATAACGTAACCATGATGTGTGTCTATCTATAGTGACCACGGTGTGTGTTACATGTGTGACCACGGTGTGTGACTGTAGTGTAGTGACCACAGTTAGGTATTTTAGTGTGTCTATTGAGCGACTTAGGTGTATGCCTGTGTAGTGGTCCCCGATGAGTGTACGTAGTGACCACGGTAAGAGACTGGAGTAAATGTGGTTCGGGACAGTAGTGAATACAATGTGGTTGTATAGTGACGACGATTAAGTGACTACGATGTGGTTTTGTAGTGACTACAGTTTGGTTGTGTAGTGACTACGGTGTGGTTGTTTGGTGACAACAGTTTGGTTGTGTAGTGACTACGGTGTGGTTGTGTAGTGACTACGATGTGGTTGTGTAGTGACTACGGTGTGGTTGTGTAGTGACTACGTTGTGGTTGTGTAGTGACTACGGTTTGGTTGTTTAGTGACTACGATGTGGTTGTGAAGTGACTTCGGTATGGTTGTGTAGTGACTACGGTGTGGTTGTGTAGTGACTACGATGTGGTTGTGTAGTAACTACGATGTGGTTGTGTAGTGAATACGATGTGGTTTTGTAGTGACTACGGTGTGGTTGTGTGGTGACCACGGCTTATCGTAGCGTAGTGACCAATGTATGTATTTCGCATAGGTGTTTGACTGCCTAATGTCCATACTGTATAGCCGTGTAGTGACTACAGCTTAAAGATATGTGTAATGATTACGGTGTGTATGCTTCCCAGATGTGTATTGTCACTTGTGTGTGCCAGACAGATTTTGTTAATTGTCACTTGTGTGTAGGCTATCCATATAATATATTCGACTATGCAATGCTTTGCTACTTTGGGGCTTGGTAAATTGTTTTTTTGTCACGTGTGCGTTGGCTACACAGAATCTGATTATGTGTAATAGAACTTGTGTGAAGGATAGATATAAGGACACGTGTGTCAATGAGAGATATAAGTAATTTTTTGTAGGAGAGATATAACGACACGTGTGTAGGTTAGATATAAATTCACCTGTGTGTAGGAGAGATATAAGGACGTTTGTGTGTAGGAGAGATATAAGGACACTTGTGTGTAGGAGAGATATAAGGACACTTGTGTGTTGGAGAGATATAAGGACATTTGTGTGTAGGTTAGATATAAAGACACTTGTGTGTAGGTTAGATATAAAGACACTTGTGTGTAGGAGAGATATAAGGACATTTGTGTGTAGGAGAGATATAAGGACACTTGCGTGTAGGAGTGATATAAGGACACTTGTGTGTAGGAGAGATATAAGGACATTTGTGTGTAGGAGAGATATAAGGACACTTGTGTGAAGGTTAGATATAAAGACACTTGTGTGTAGGAAAGATATAAGGACATTTTTGTGAAGGAGAGATATAAGGACATTTGTGTGTAGGAGAGATATAAGGACATTTGTGTGTAGGAGAGATATAAGGACATTTGCGTGTAGGAGTGATATAAGGACATTTGCGTGTAGGAGTGATATAAGGACACTTGTGTGTAGGAGAGATATAAGGACACTTGTGTGAAGGTAAGATATAAAGACACTTGTGTGTAGGAAAGATATAAGGACATTTGTGTGTAGGAGAGATATAAGGACATTTGTGTGTAGGAGAGATATAAGGACACTTGTGTGTAGGAGAGATATATGGACATTTGTGTGTAGGAGAGATATAAGGACACTTGTGTGTAGGAGAGATAAAAGGACACTTGTGTGTAGGAGAGATATAAGGAAATGAGTGTGTAGGTAAGATATCTAAGGACATTTGTGTGTAGGAGAGATATATGGACATTTGTGTGTAGGAGAGATTTAAGGACACTTGTGTGTAGGGAAAATATAAGGACACTTGTGTGTAGGAGAGATATATGGACATGTGTGTGTAGGAGAGATATAAGGACACTTATGTGTAGGAGAGATATATGGACATTTGTGTGTAGGAGAGATATAAGGACATGAGTGTGTAGGAGAGATATCATGACACTTGTGTGTAGGAGAGATTTAAGGACACTTGTGTGTAGGAGAGATATATGGACATTTGTGTGTAGGAGAGATATGAGGACACCTGTGTGTAGGTTAGATATAAAGACACTTGTGTGTAGGAGAGATATATGGACACTTGTGTGTAGGAGAGATATAAGGACATGAGTGTGTAGGAGAGATATATTGACATGTGTGTAGGTTAGATATATAAGGACATTTGTGTGTAGGATAGATATAAGGAGATGAGTGTGTAGGAGAGATATATGGACATGTGTGTAGGTTAGATGTATAAGGACATTTGTGTGTAGGATAGATATAAGGACATGAGTGTGTAGGAGAGATATATAAGGACATTTGTGTGTAGCATAGATATAAGGACATGAGTGTGTAGGAGAGATATATGGACACTTGTGTGTAGGAGAGATATCAGGACACTTGTCTGTAGGAGAGATATAAGGACATTTGTGTGTAGGAGAGATATAAGGACACTTGTGCGTAGGAGAGATATATGGACATTTGTGTGTAGGACAGATATAAGGACACTTGTGTGAAGGTAAAATATAAAGACACTTGTGTGTAGGAGAGATTTAAGGCCACTTGTGTGTAGGAGAGGTATAAGGACACTTGTGTGTAGATTAGATATAGGGCCACTTGTGTGTAAGAGAGATATAAGGACACTTGTGTGTAGGAGAGATATATGGACATTTGTGTTTAGGAGATATATAAGGACACTTGTGTGTAGGAGAGATACATGGACATTTGTGTGTAGGAGAGATATAAGGACACTTGTGTGTAGGAGAGATACAAGGCCACTTGTGTGTGTGCTAAACATAATCATTAGGGCCAGTGAAGTTCACGACTACATTCCTTTGGTTTGTTTTTATTATAGCTATCTCATATAAAGTTCATGCATTTGAATAACAAATGAACACTTAATTTATAATGAGATGGACGTATGTTAATACATAAAAAGTGTTCCCATAGTTGGTGATTATTTAAGGACAGAGCTGACGATTAAATGGCTATTACAATAATTCAATTCATTTTCATCTTGTTATTGAAAGTTTATGTTACATTGCATGATTAATGAACATCATGTAATTAACGACCCAGGTGACATATTATTGATGAATCAGGTGATATTTAATTAATGACATATCTCCCAGCTATTTATCATGTACATCACAAAATAACCAATATTAGTATTTTAATAACTCAGATGACATATTATTAATGACTCAGATGACATTAATTAAAGACTCATATGATATATTATTAATGACTCAGATGACATGTTATTAATGAATCAGATGACATTTTATTAATGACTCAGATGACATGTTATTAATGACGCAGATGACGTGTCATTAATGACTCAGATGGCATGTAATTAATGACTCAGATGACATGTTGTTAATGACTCAGATGGCATGTTATTAATGACTCAGATGACATGTTATTAATGACTCAGATGACATATAATTAATGACTCAGATGACATATTATTGTTGACTCATATGACATCTAATTAATGACTCAGATGACATGTAATTAATGACTCAGATGACATGTTGTTAATGACTCAGATGGCATGTAATGAATGACTAAGATGACATGTTGTTAATGAGTTAGATGACGTGTCATTAATGACTCAGATGACGTGTCATTAATGACTTAGATGACATTTTATTAATGACTCAGATGACGTGTCACTAATGACTCAGATGACATGTTGTTAATAACTCAGATGACGTGTCATTAATGACACAAATGACATGTTGTTAATAACTCAGATGACGTGTCATTAATGACTCAGATGACATGTTATTAATGACTCAGATGGCATGTCATTAATGACTCAGATGACATGTCATTAATGACTCAGATGACGTGTCATTAATGACTCAGATGACGTGTCATTAATGACTCAGATGGCATGTTATTAATGACTCAGATGACATGTCATTAATGACTCAGATAACATGTTATTAATGATTCAGATGGCATGTTATTAATGACTCAGATGGCATGTTATTAATGACTCAGATGACGTGTCATTAATGACACAGATGACATGTTGTTGATAACTCAGATGACGTGTCATTAAGGACTTAGATGACATTTTATTAATGACTCAGATGACGTGTCATTAATGACCCAGATGACAGGTTATTAATGACTCAGATGATTGTAATTAATGACACAGATGACATCGTGTAAATAATGATATAAATGACACCGTGTACTGTAAATTATTCGGATGCCATCGTGTAGTTGGAGTAAAAATATTGTGGATTAATTGATGATTTAGATGACCTGATATTACTGATCAATCACGTGACTTCGGGAACTTGATGCCACTCCTGTCTTCAACATTGACATCAATTTGAATGCGTTAGTTATATGACAACACGTTTGCCTTACTATACATATTTAGATAATATAAAAAGAAAAAATCTTAAAAACGAGCCTTTAGTACTTTCATCTCGTCAAGGAGCCTAAGGGCTTTTGGTTAATAACGAATGAAATATTTTTATAACTTACCTTCTTGTAGCTGGTCAGACGAACATTGCTCCGACAGTGACTTACAAAAACAGCTGTTTGATGTCATGTTTGCTGAAATAACATAATGCATTGTCAGTGTTGACATTCATATAGTATATTATGATAAAAATCATCTCCAGTTTATTTCCATTCGACATCTGATCTCATCAAAGCCTGTTGATTGTCGTAGTCTATAATTACTCATATGAATGGTATATTAGACGGACACTCCTTTGGGGTCTCCTAATTAGTATTTACATTTGTATAAGCACAACCAATGCATACACAAAGACTGACTCTATGTGGCTTAAACCAACATGTTCATCAGCATGGCATGCGACTATCAATGCAATTTGTTCAATAAATCATATCTTTTCTACAAGATATATTGTTCATTTTTGTAAAGGAGAGTAAACTGAAGTATACTTTGTTTGAGAATATGTTCTTGTGGAAAGCCGAAATTTTCTACTAACTAACTTTACTTATTTTAAATAGGAGAATATAAAAAAAGAAAAAAGAAAAAAAAAGGAAATGGTAGGTGTGTTTGGTCATTTCTTTGCTAAATGCACACATCTCCCAAGTGTGTCACCGGAAATATATGAATGTTTGCACAATTCGTAAAAATAACATATAGAAGAAAACATGCTTTCAATTATATTTTGACCAAAAAAACAAAAACAAAATGATATCATTTGATACAAATGAGTAATAAAATACCGATATTGTTCAATTTTCCCACATTTTGTCACCCTGATACTTTTAGTGATCAATCTAGTGTCAAAAAGGTTAAATTTTGGCATTTCATGGAGCGCAAGAGGAAATACACATTTGCAGGATATTCAAAATGGCTTCCGAATTGGTCATTTTTTTAAACTTGTAGAACAAATTCTGCTATCGAGTAGCTATCTACTTGTTGGACATTTTTTTCTTAACTTATTTGTTTTTAGATTTGACCATATGACTTGTTACTTTAATAAAATCCTGTTACTCAGAATCAATACAAGATTTGAACGCAAGTTAAATCTCAGAAAAGCATATTCTTAAAAACACTTTCTAATATCACGTGTTAATGTTGATTGGTCCGGTCCTCTGACCACATTAATTCCAGTAGCGTACCAACTATGATAGAGCAAGGATACCGGATTGTTGGGTCAGATTGGGTTAGTCGTAATACTGCTAATCCTCTCCAATGTCCCGGATTAAGACGTCAATTTCTGTATTCGTAGTTCTGAAGCTGAAAACTCTACTTTGACTCTTTATGTCCATTCATCCTGGTCTGTTTCGATTGGTGATTAGGTTCATAATATACACATTTTATTTACTTATTTTTAACTTTAAATTAACCAGTAATCCTCTTACTTAAAAAAAATCATATAATTAAAGGGTTTATGCACTTCCCCTTCTGTTTCAACGGTAGCTTAGACCAATTAGTATTTTCGCCTTTTTGTCCCCAACATCAGAAGGACGAAACAGCGTGATATGGTGCAGTTTTATTCATTTTTTGCCACCCTCGATACTCCAGTATTACGCTCTCTGCACCCCTGGAATATGTCAACGCAAAAACGAAGGCTCAGTGTGCACCACCTTGTGGATGAGACAAGAAATTATGTCGGTAGCGTTACGATAAAATTGACTGGCTTTGAATTCGGATGTCGCTCCTCTTTAATCTTCAATAGACATGTATCACTCTAGCTATTTGTCAAGCTATTTTTTTCACTGGAGACCAATCATATAGCTAGCCGTGTACCTTATATATCCAGCCCTGGTAAGCCTTCGTGAACGCTCGTTATAAATTCGTGACAAAACATCTGGGGAAAAGGATACATAAACAAGCAGACGAGGCTGGTCATCCGATGTTAATGTGAACTTGAACTTCCTCCACAGACGAAGTTTCTTGGATGAACATTCTATTTACGATTTTCCGAGAAAAAAATGCCACGGTGTCTTATGTTTGTAATCGATAATTGTTATCGGGGTGTTCCTGATAGAAACCTCGTCGCCGATGCAACAACGTTTTTCATTGGTCAACAACCTTGGATCCCAACAATACATGCATGTGCAGCACTATTTCAAACTCTAATAAAACATTTTAGGCAGAATAGATTTGACAAGCAATTATGTTTGTTTGTATAATATTTTGTAATTCAGGTATATTACTTATTATATACATTTAAATTATAAATTATGTAGCGGAAAATAAATAATTTCAAGACACTTTATTGAGAATATTTTATTAATAACAGGTATGGAGTTCCGTGAACTGCATATATATATATATATATATAAAGAGAGAGAGAGAGAGAGAGAGAGAGAGAGAGAGAGAGAGACAGTTAATATAAAAATAAGGTTCATATATGTAACTCAGAAAAAACTTTTGTATAATTCTACCGTACGATCTATAAAACATGTACAGAGACCAGCCCTGCGTCATAAAACAGTTTGTTAACAGGTATTACTATAAAATGTGCCCTTGCCTGCAAAGGGGATGATCTGCATGATATTGATTTTATACAATTAATTCAGTAAATACATAACTTGATCAACAGCTACTTTTCAAATCAACAAGATAACACTTATGTTTACGCCTGATGCAGTGAACCTATTGTCGGTGTAGCATCTGGATTCGTTCAGACAATCACACAATGTTACAACCAACAGCACAGTACAATAGATTCATGTGATCTCATTTACGGATAATATTTCACCAGTTTTTACGAAATGTTATACAGTAATAAAACACAATGATAATGAACAAATGGTCTGGGTTTCTAGAGAATCTTTACAAACATGTTTACTATACATTCAAACATTTTGATATAATTCATTATATTTCTGCTGAAATCGAACACTTGTATTTATATTGCTAATTGAATCACTTCTAATAAGAACATACACCTACAGCAATGTGATTTAAAGAGGGACACTATGGTAAATCATTTGACAAGGAAAAGGGATTTTATATTTCACCAATTTATACATACATGATATGAATCTGTGTGCCTATCAATGGATTTCAATTTGAAGTGAAAATTTCCCTTTCAAATCTAGCAGAAATTGTTAATGATTATTAACGAAAGTGAAATGTTCAAGGCAATTTGTCCTATTTATATTGTATGCTAACCAGACCATAAAGATGCCAGTTTCCTGTTTGCTATATGTTAGTTGAATGCAAACCAAACTGTGTCCAGATTCATTCCCCTCTACCTTGCATGCTGCTTTGTGCAAATATCAGTTCTGATATGTATACCTGGTATACTAAACCAGACTGTTGAAATGTAAGTTCCCTGCATGTTGTATGCTAACCAGACTGTTTAGATGTTAGTTCCCTGCCTGTTGTATACTAACCAGACTGTAAAGATGTCAGCTCCTTGCATGTTGTATGCTAACCAGACTGTTAATGTGTCAGCTCCTTGCATGTTGTATGCTAACCAGGCTGTTAAGATGTTAGTGTCCTGCATGCTGTATGCTAATTACCAGACTGTTAAGATGTAGCTCACTGCATGTTGTATGCTAACCAGGCTGTTAAGATGTAAGTTCCTTTCATGTTGTATGCTAACCAGACTGTTAAGATGTTAGTGTCCTGCATGCTGTATGCTAATCAACCAGACTGTTAAGATGTAGCTCACTGCATGCTGTATGCTAATTATAACCAGACTGTTAAGATGTAGCTCACTGCATGTTGTATGCTAACCAGGCTGTTTAGATGTTAGTGTCCTGCATGCTGTATGCTAATTACCAGACTGTTAAGATGTAGCTCACTGCATGCTGTATGCTAACCAGGCTGTTAAGATGTAAGTTCCTTTCATGTTGAATGCTAACCAGACTGTTAAGATGTTAGTGTCCTGCATGCTGTATGCTAATCAACCAGACTGTTAAGATGTAGCTCACTGCATGCTGTATGCTAATTATAACCAGACTGTTAAGATGTAGCTCACTGCATGTTGTATGCTAACCAGGCTGTTAAGATGTTAGTTTCCTGCATGTTGTATGCTAACCGGACTGTTAAGATGTTAGTTCCTTTCATGTTGTATGCTGATAGTATGCTAACTAAGCTGTGCACAGATATATAGATGTTTGTATTCTATACACTGTAATGTGCTGAGTGCTGCAAATCTGACTCTATACATTTCTGTCAGTGATGTGGCCATGAACTCAATCTCTTTATGTTCCTTACATTTTTTTGGGATCTAATAATAGATTAACATAAAAGTACACACCAAACAGCACGTGTCAGACTCTGTGAGGGTAGCGAAGTACACACAGATGTCTGTCAACGCCAGTAAGCAGATCCCTGACTTACGTACTTGTTGTCGGCAAATAAAGAAGCAAAACCAGGAACATATGAGTCAAACCTAACATTAACAAACACAGGATTATGTTTTTATAGCTTGAAAGCTTGACAAAATATTGACACTAGTTGTGAGTCACACCTATGGAGTACGGATTAACCTAGATCACACATGGCTTCTATATATATATTACTACACAAACTGGATCTAAGCCTGCAATTTCCCTGTTAGAGTTCACTTCCTGGGATGGGCTACTCTGCTGCTACTCTAGAATAAGATGACCATCATGCTCTTAAACTAAATAGTAAGATATCAATCAGGATTCAACTAAAACAGCAAGATGAACATAAGGCTTTGGCCCTAAGCAATAAAATAACAATCAGTCTTCGGCCCTAAACAATAAGATGACCATCAGATTTCAGCACTAAGCAACAAAATGATCATCAGGTGAAGACCCTAAGCAGTGAGATGACCACCACATTTCAACCCTTAGCAATAAGATGAACACCACATTTCAGCCCTAACAATGAGATGACCATCAGGCTTTAGCCCAAAACAATTGCATGACCATCAGGTTTCAGTCCTAAACAATAAGATGACCATCAGGTTTCACCCCTTAGAAATAAGATGACCATCAGGTTTTATTCCTTAAGAAATAAGATGACCATCAGGCTTCAGCCCTTAGAAATACGATGACCATCAGGCCTAGGTTTCACCCCTTAGAAGTAAGATGACCATCGGGTTTCACCCCTTAGAAATGAGATGACCATCAGGCTTCAGCCAAAACAATAAGATGACCATCAGGTTTCAGCCCTAAACAATAAAATGACCATCAAGTTTCAGCTCTAAACAATAAGATGATCATCAGGTTTCAGCCCTTAACATAAGGATGACGCTCAGGTTTCAGCTCTAATCTATAAGATGACCATCAGTTTTCAGCCCTAAACAGTAAGATGACCATCAGGTTTCAGTCCTAAACAATAAGATGACCATCAGGCTTCAGTCCAAACAATAAGATGACCATCAGGTTTCAGCCCTAAACAGTAAGATGACCATCAGGTTTCAGCCCTAAACAGTAAGATGACCATCAGGTTTCAGCCCTAAACAATAAGATGACCATCAGGTTTCAGCCCTAAACAGTAAGATGACCATCAGGTTTCAGCCCTAAACAGTAAGATGAATGGCCATCAGGTTTCAGCCCTAATCAATAAGGTCACCATCTGATTTTAACCCTTAGCAGAAGATTATCTTGCATAACAGTAAGGTTACCAGCGAGCTTCAAGGCACCTGGCCAGCAGGCAGGATAGCAACAGTAACATGTAGTTGATGATCATAACATACAAAACCATATCTGTACAGTTTGTCATTAATTATGTGTCAAACATTTAAAGATACAAGATGTTGATTAATAGTTCTATTAACACAGAAAAATGAAAACATTAGACTAGACATACAAATGAATTGACATGAAAAATAATGGAAAAAATAAATATAAACATGTACAAATATAGCCTCTCTGTCACAGCTATTATCAAAAAGTATTAAAAGTTTTTATACCCAGGCATAAACACAGCCCCGTAATTTTGACTGTGTCCAATCCATGCATCATACCAACCGCATAAGGCTAAACGGACATGTAAACTTTGGTCCCATATAACCAGTGACCATTCAGCATCTACATGATACTACCATGTAGTGTAATTAGTTAAATGATTTTTTTCTTTTTACAGTTTAATGTCCATTTTTCCTATTAAATGTTATTGATGGTTTTGGGGTACTCAACAAAACTCGCTTCACAGTCCCCAGGTACCAATAGTTTCCAAAGCATCCCTAGGGATCCACTGCATCTCTACAGAAACCAATGGGATCCATCAAATCTCTATAGAAACTCTATGGACCCAAAGAGTTTCCATAGAATCGCAAGGAATCTATATGTCTCCACTGAATCCTGAGGGGTTTACTGAAGCTCAACAGAATCCTTAGGGATCCACCGAGACTCAATAGAACCCAGAGGGATCCAGTGAGTATATACAGATCCTGAGGGATACACCGAGACTCCATAGAACCCAGAGGGATTATGTGAGCATATACAGATCCTGAGGGAACCACCGAGACTCCAAAGAACCCAGAGGGATCCAGTGAGTTTTTACAGATCCTGAGGGATCCACTGAGACTCCATAGAATCCAGAGGGATCCAGTGAGTATATACAAATCCTGAGGGATCCACCGAGACTCCATCGAACCCAGAGGGATCCAGTGAGCATATACAGATCCGGAGGGATCCACCGAGACTCCGTAGAACCCAGAGGGATCCAGCGAGTATATACAGATCCTGAGGGAACCACCGAGACTCCAAAGAACCCAGAGGGATCCAGTGAGTTTTTACAGATCCTGAGGGATCCACTGAGACTCCATAGAATCCAGAGGGATCCAGTGAGTATATTCAGATCCTGAGGGATCCACAGAGACTCCATAGAACCCAGAGGGATTATGTGAGCATATACAGATCCTGAGGGATCCTCCGAGACTCAGTAGAACCCAAAGGGATCCAGTGAGTATATACAGATCCTGAGGTATCCACCTAGACTCCATAGAACCCAGAGGGCTCCAGTGAGCATATACAGATCCTGAGGGATCCACCGAGACTCCATAGAACCCAGAGGGATCATGTGAGCATATACAGATCCTGAGGGATCCACTGAGACTCCATAGAATCCAGAGGGATCCAGTCAGTTAACACAGATCCTGAAGTCTCTACAGAATCCTTAGGGTTTCAATGAGTCTACACAAACTTCCATGGGATCCACCGAGTCTTCACATAATCCAGAGGTATCTATACCATTGAATCCCAAAGGGTCAATTGAGTCTTGTCAGATTCAGAATCAAGAGGTATCTAACAATAGTCTCCACTAAATCCCCAAGGATCTAATGAGTCTTCACTCAGTCTCCAGTCTTCACGGAATCCCTAGGGAGCCATGGATAAAGTCTTCATAGAATCATTAGTAATCCACCTATAGTCTACAGAATCCATAGAGATCCACTGATACCCTTCACAGAATACCCAGGAATCCTTCCGGTCAAGTCTATTTAGCGCCCTCTGCTGCAGCATTCTTCTGCTCTTGCAGGTCCAAAGCTTCCTCTATCATTGTTGTAGACTGTAACAGACACAAAGATCTGATAGAAGAACAGCCACATAGTGTGATCTAACATATAGGGTTTAAATCTTTAATCCATCAAATTACCAATCTATACTGTTTTTATATGCCAACTTCTTGTGTATGTGATTAGATGTGGTCTATTCTCATAAAGATGTGTAGTATGTTTGATTATGATTAAGGGTAGACAACTCACAAAGCAGACCTGGCCCGTTTTTTGGTTTCTTCTGGTCCAAACGGTTGAACAAGTTGGACCAGAGTTGTTTGTTTATGAAATAAGGTTGGACCTATTAATCTGATGCTGCTTTTAGGCGAGCGTTGACAAAGCCTTGCAAGGCCAGCATAAACTTTTGCAGATCCGCCAGGATTTATACCCCAAAACGTTACATTTAAAAATAGATGTATCGGTTGTTCAGCATAAACAAACAGGCCCTAGGATATGTAATTCTTTTATAAGGATTGACAACTCTCAAATTGTATGCGACACTAAAATAAAAGTAGACAACTCACAAACACATAAAATGTAGCCGCTCCAGCCGACACATCACGGACTTCGTCCAGTTCAAACTTGTTAAGTAGGGTTTTAGCTCGCTTGGCTGCGCCCAAGGCAATACCCTCAGGCTTACACTCCAGACAACGACGCTTCAGACTTTCCTTGCCGGTCTTACCGACCAAGGCCTGGACTGCCTTCCAGTCCTGTATACAGATAAGGTGAAAACAGCGACCATCGGTACAAATATTAATAGTGTCACCATATCAGGGGTAATCAAGACAAATGGATTGTGTGATCCCCAATAATGAATGATAGTAAGCTAATTACTGCTATTTAATTCTGTAAACTCAAGTTTGTTACATCAATATATGGCCTAATAGATTCCATATAGCCAGGAGAGGTATCATCTTTCTACTCTAAAACATTTTAATCTTTGTTGCATTTGGTAGAATGTAATTACTATGTTTGACTAGACAGCAAAGTTCTTGATCAAGGCCCAGTGCATTATAATGGTAAGTATAACAGTTTTAGATCAAGGCCTCCTGTACTATAATGCTCTGTTTTACAGGATAACAAGTCTGTGTTGATGTACGCTACCTTTGTCTCCTTTTCCTTGTGCCCCAGTATAAGGAAGGTGGCAGTCATAATGGTATGAACCAGTAGAGGAGGTGTCTGGTAACTACGAATCTCTGCCACCGTTGACTGCTTCAGCTCCAGAATCTCGTGGCGGATGCGCTCAAGACGTCGTAGACGTACAAGCAACTCGTTGGCCTCGGCCAGCTCCTTCGCCAGCTGTACTTCAAACCCATGTTTCTTGACTGTTTGAATGGCTCTCTCCAGCTCCTCAATTTCACGCTTTGTCATGGCTCTCTTCAAACCTGTAACACAATGGTCCATGTCAAAGTAATACAGTAAGTAGAATTTATAATATATATATATATATATTATAGGCTTGAAGACCTGAGGTCAATTAGGGACAACATCTTTTTAGAAGAATATTTGTAGAAGGGATGCATTCAGTTTCAGTTGTGAGGTTGCTAATGCAAATCCACTGCTTTAAGATTCTAATCTGCCCTCCCTTACAAGCACTATCAAGTTTAAAGTTCATTTTGAGATTTGTGTTTACATCAAATTGTAAGTAAGTGAAAGCATTGTACATGGGGATTAAACTCGGCAAACATTTTTGTAATGCTCAAAACCTGAAGATCCATTTCAGTCATTTCATATGTAGCTTCGGACTTTAGTAGCTTACAGTCCCTAAAGGTGAAGTTACATGGTTCTGTGTGGCTTGACCATCTTTGGAGATGAAGATCCAAGGTTGAACATAACTTACCGTCCCTGGAGGTGAGCTCCTTGAGAAGTTTCTCGGCCTTCATGAGGTCCATGTCAACATCCTCCACTTTGTCCTTTTTGAACTCTGTGATGTTATACTCCAGCTGGTATTTGTCCCGAGATTTGATGGCCACCTTCAAGTTGTATCTCAGCTTCTTGTCTCTAAGCTCTGTTGAAAACATGCATCATCTATCTGAACTACTGTTAACTTTGTTATATACATTCTTTAACTTTATGAAATTGAGTGCTCTATTTCATTAATTTAATTCATTTATCTAGAGCTTAACCCAATCTGTGTTTGCATGTGTTACAGTGCCAAGTAATGATCACATATGACCTCTAAGTCATTCTGTGACTTCTATCAGATATTTGATATTAGTGACCTTAATATATAATCAAGTGGTGACATGAACTCTGTGACCTTGAACCAAAGAGTTCTGACTTCTAGCGCAGTCAACGGAACTATAAACAAGTTATGATTTCAGTGACCTTGGCCTTTAATCCTAAAGTGACTTCAATTAACTAGGCATGAATTGAACGTTGACCTTGACCTATAAGTTGTAGCTTCCTCTAAATATTCTATTTATAAGAAACAAAAATTCTTCTACAATACAGCATGAAGTTGACATAATTATAAAGTACTATTCTCTAGCATAAACAAGACATAATTATGACAAACTATTCTCTAGCATGAACTTGAGAAAATCATAAAGTACCATTATCTAGCATGAATATGAATTAATCATAAAGTACTATTCTCTAGCATGAACATAACATAATCATAAAGTACTACTCTGATCTCTAGTATGAACATGACATAATCCTAAAGTACTACTCTGATCTCTAGTATGAACATGACATAATCAAAAAGTACTACTCTGATCTCTAGTATGAACATGACATAATCCTAAAGTACTACTCTGATCTCTAGCGTGAACATGACATAATCAAAAAGTACTACTCTGATCTCTAGTATGAACATGACATAATCATAAAGTACTACTCTGATCTCTAGCATGAACATGACATAAATATATATAATCATCAAATACTACTCTGATCTCTAGCATGAGCTTGATACAGAGGTATCACATGACCTATTTGATGTCATCAACCTTCGCCATATACATATATACTGTTAAATACTACTGTAACACTTACGTTCACACCATAAATCTCACCTCTGTGTTTCTGCTTCAGCCTTTCACGTTCTTCGTCCTCTTTCTTGTGTCTCTTGAGCTCCTCCTCGGCCCTTTTCTCCTCTTCCTCTGCCCGCTGTAATGACGAGGTACATGTAACAGAGCTGTGAATAGGCCTCTCAAGTGCATACACTTTATCAACAGGCAATGACCTTTTTAACTTAAACACACAACCTCACTATCACCTGTTTGACGGATCCAGGATTTTATCTATATATATGTATTTAAATGTAACAGGAGAAAGAGAAATGCAATGGCCAGACTGGGATTCGAACCAGGGACCCTCCAAACTCTAGATAGACACTCTACCAATTGAGCTATCCAGTCACTGACGATAGACCCAGTTTAGTTTCACTACCTCCCTCCCTCCTTTTTCTATCCCTTCGTTCCCAAAGACAGCTTTAACCACAACTCAGGTCCAAATTTCCTCTTGCTAAGCTTTCCCCAGTGCTTGAAACAAGGGCTGACAAGCTCGTCAATTTTGTAACAGGAGAAATAGAAATGCAAGGCAAGACTAAGATTCAAACCCAGAACCCTCCAAACTCTAGACAAACGCTATACCAATCAAACTACCTGGTCACCACAATCGACCCAGTCTTATTCCGCTACATATATACTGTGTATAAGATAGTATGTTACAATACTGTTACAAAAATCTTGTACTTAGTGATTTCATATTATTGAAACTTAATCTAGAAACATGAACGTATATTTTATAAATTTTCTAATTAGATTGTACCCGCTTGAACATCTGAATGGCGACGTTAACAATATGTAAGAAACTGAAATCTTCAACTAATGGCATTTAGATCTTCCGACATTAAAGAACTACCATGATAAGATATATATTAAGCAAACAGATGCCAGAAATATTTTTGACAATCCCGACAGAACAAAGCTTCCTAGCTACCTTGGCTAGAGTTTCTACATCTTTGTACAGCTCCTCTTCTTCCCTCTTCCTTCTCTCCTCCTCTTCTCTCTGCTTTTCCTCTAGTTCTCGCAATCTGCGCTGCTCCTAGATAAAAACAAAAGATAACGCTAGGTGAGAATTTGCAGACTTATTGAGTTTTGTATCGTAAGGATCCCTGTCCCTCTGCATATACAGTTACCTCCCCTTTAACTTCCATTTGGATATATAACTGTAGCACAGTTGGGCCAAGACAATACTGTTGACTAGCTTAGAGTGATAGTACATAAAAATGAAGACCAGGTTTCTATTCCTGCTCCATTCCCATAGATGTGTTCACACTTTGAACACTGATGTTGATTATATTTTGTTTATTTCAGATTTATATTTTTTTTTATAAAAGTCCCGTAATGTATGGTTTTCTTTTCAGAAATGATTTATCAAGGCTATACTCATGCCAGATAAAACAGTTTCCCTCCAACACTTCGTTATAGTTTAATGGCAGTGGTACAGAGATCCTTAAAAATACATTAACGCATTCACCCCTGAAGACACATTTGAACTCTTCCAATGCAAAGATTGGAATAGTTCATTACGAAATTTCAGGGGTGAATGAGTTAAAACACAGAATACCCACTGGTAGAATGCTAACTAAATAACAAAAGCTAGCAGTAATATCCATTTGCATGTTGTGCAAAGAAATATTTGTCATTTGTTAAACGGTAATGAAATACAAAATTACGACAATTACCTGTTACTATGACAACTTGGTACATACCTCTTCTTCTTCCCTCCTGCGTCTCTCTTCTTCTTCCCTTTTCCTAAGATCTGTACCAAGTACAAGTTAGATGGTTTAAAAATGCACATGTTTTTCTTAATTCTTATACACCTAAGCTGATAAAATAAAACAAGCCAGCTCATGAGTTACTATATATATATGTTTATATAGATACAATATTCATCTATCTACATAAATATTTAATTTTCGGGATAAAAATATTAAATCAATCTATCTACAGGAAAACAAAATACATACCTGTTACATGTTTATATATTCAATAAATCTAGCTACATTAAATATATACATGGATAAAAAGTTTAAATATCTAACTACATAGACAGAGTATATTGCTTCCATGATAAATACATTTCCTCCCTCCGGAGTCATGTAGAATTAATCCATAGACCATTACTTATCAAGAAACCAATGGTACATATAGCATGATATAGCAATGGTAACACGTACAACAATTGTGTAACACTGATCAATTCTCACAAAGGACAGAGTGTTGTTCACTGCCAAATGAATTTATCATAATCCACATATCTTAATTCACATTTAACAAACAATCAGAAATTTCAGCATTAAGACTGAACGGAATGAGTAAAGACATGCTAGAATCGTAAAAAAAGAGCTGCACAAACAAATCAAATACAAGTGTAAAACAAAAGTCACCGATTCAATATATTAAAAGTAATACGAAAAATAGTCACCAATCATGTCTATTAACTTCACAAAGACAATATATGCAAGGTACTACTGCCACAACTTTAAATCTCAATACACACATACATTCATACACTACTGTTTGGTGTATATATATACACAATCCATGAGGTAAAAAAAATTGAGAAAAACGTTTTGCACAAATAAAATAATTAAGTATCAACTTTTGAGGCCTATATTTATACACTTTCTTTAAACTGAACTTCATAAATTTGTGTGTGGTACGATGTAAATACAATAAGAAACACACACACAAACAATTTTATAACGTCATCATTAATAATTAGCCCCATTGCAAATATGATAACTTTAGAAAAACAAATTATATGTAGTGCCTTCAAACAAAGCTTTGTGCATTTTAGATTGGTTTACATTGTAACATGTTTTAAACTGACATTCAGTAAGGCGCACTGAACATTTTCAAGTAAATATGACTATCATATGATCATTATTATCTAAGGATTAAATTTTAGCAGTTTATGATGAGAGTACACTCTGTTTTATTGTGTTATATCCCCATAACATGAAAAATGTATTCAAGTTAATGCTTATAATTTAATCTACTTAACACAATTCCTGTGGAAATCTACTTTTATTGATGGACTCTTTTCTCTTAGAAATTATTGCGCTGCTGTATCAGCCAATCAAAGGCGACGTTACAAATGGCGACGTCATTTTTTCACGTTATGGGCTGATAACATAAATTTTTAAGCCAATGAAAATGCTTGTTACAAGCAAGATTAAATCATTATGTAAAAATAAAAGCAGGGAATGATATCTGAAATATTTGCATAAACTGAAAAAACATAATTGATGCCTTTTCAAATACAAACTACCAAACCATACATGCAGGAGTTGCACATATTTTAAATTTGTTTAATGTAGCTATATTACTTAATACCTTGCTATCAAACTGTCTGCTTCTATTAATTACAGTTATCATTTTTACAAATTTATTTTTCACTGTACCTTTTCTTATAAGTTGGATTTGCCCCCCCCCCCCTCCCTTCCAATCACACATATACACACAATAAGCTTTCATGCACATTGAATATTTGGTGACTTCATCACTATAGCTGTGTATATTATTTATTAATCCAGCAGGTATTTACTCATTTCTAATGTGTCTGTAGACCCAGCATGCAACATGGTATTTCTGGCTGTTAACAACTACTACTGTAACTGTACCTGTCTTCAAATGTCAAATTCCCTTCCATTTGTATCATTACAATTATAAGTTAATTCAAGTAAATATAATGATTTAAGATAGGGTATTGGATTTGTTCAAAAGTTTAAAGTATACGGTATCAAAATCAAATTCTTCTATCCTTTATATTAAGTGCAGTCTTTTACCCTTTATACCATAACCCAAAACAGTCTTGTACCCTAAATACTATAATCAAAACACAGTCTTGTACCCTATACATATACAAAGTAGTCTTGTACCCTAGATTTTCAATCAAAATCTTTTTGTTTGTTGTTTGTTTAAGCGGTTTTACATCTGTGCTTCATTACCAAGTAGTTCTGTTAACAAACTGACAATAGCTAAAAAAGACTTGCACTCTTTATATGCATTCTTGTACCCTAAATCATAATCAAACAGTCTTGTACCCTATATATACAGTCTAATGTACCCTTAATCATAATCAAACAGTCTTGCCCCCCAAAATACGGTCATCAAAACACAGTTTTGTACCCTATATACAATGTCTTGTTACCTATATACAATGACTTGTACCCTATATACAGTCTTTTACCCTATATACAGTCATGTACCCTATATACAATGTCTTGTACCCTATATATACAATGTCTTGTACCCTATATACAATGCCTTGTACCCTATATACAATGTCTTGTAACCTATATACAGTCTTGTACCCTATATACAATGTCTTGTACCCTATATACAATGTCTTGCACCTATATACAATGTCTTGTACCCTATATATACAGTCTTGTACCCTATATACAATGTCTTGTACCCTATATATACAATGACTTGTACCCTATATATACAATGTATTGTACCCTATATACAATGTCTTGTACCCTATATACAATGTCTTGTACCCTATATATACAGTCTTGTACCCTATATATACAGTCTTGTACCCTATATACAGTCATGTACCCTATATACAATGTCTTGTACCCTATATATACAGTCTTGTACCCTATATATACAATGTCTTGTACCCTATATACAATGTCTTGTACCCTATATATACAGTCTTGTACCCTATATATACAGTCATGTACCCTATATATACAGTCTTGTACCCTATATACAATGTCTTGTTTCTGTAGGGAGAATGTTACAATCAATCTGTTGATTTACTTAATATTTCCATTAAGTTAAAGTCAGAACATGCACATTGTGCTGCAGTGATCCCAAAAGCAGGTGCAGACATAAATATATATATGTAATTAATCACCTACTTACTGCTTCATTATCTTCACTGGTTCTTTTTGGAGCAGATGTTGATTTGTTTTTTTTTACTGAATTCATCAAATTCTCTTACCGTAAAATTCACAAAAAAACACCTCCGATCACAATGCTCCTCTCATACTATAACTGATTGTTGTGAAATGTTACCTTGGTAGAAGGTTGTACCGTACATATCCTGCAATAAGCCCAGGGGGCCAACACATAAATTTGGGACAGAAAGCAGAGGAGGGTGGTCTTATTATAGGACAATTAAAAAAGTTTTGTTGACATTTCTTTGTAACTGTAATACATATTATTACCAAGCATGGGGTTATTGCTGGATAAATATGGTACATGTAAACCAGATATGTTTCTTACTCATACTGTACATGCAATAACTTCACATTTACTGTACCTCCAAAACGTTTTGATAGAGAAAAAAATTAAACATTCAGCAAAAAACACCAGAACGAATTGAACAGATTTTTTTATTTCGTGCACTGTACACACACACAACCATTTCTAAAAAATACAAAATACAAAAATATGATAACTATGATTTGATTAAAATGGTGAAAATATATGGCCAATCTCTGATTCCAAACTTCAATAATCCTGAATGCGATACCCCGAAATTAACTGAAATTCTGACACACATGACTGATTTTCTATCAATTCTTTTAACGAGCAGGAAACAGGGCAAAATAGTGAAAAATTACTATTTCTTTGTTATGATGGAATAATATATCAGATAATGAAAAAATGTCTGTAAAACATATCTATAACACACTTCCACTTTAATGGAAATGGAGCCTAAACAAAGTCAGTGAAGCACGAAATACAGGTCACAGTGACCTATATACATTAGAGGCGTCATGATTCACCGCGATGCACTTAATGTACTGCGATTATTAATGTTCGAATAGATTCACGATAAAAGTTCAATTTCATTGGCTGATCTCTAAACCCTCAACCAATCGACTGCTAGGATGCAATTTTCACAAAGCATTTATAACAAAATGGACTGAGGTCTATTGATATCAGAGAAAGTTTAGCCAAAAGTACATCCATAGGCAAAGTCTAACCAAAGTCAATTACCGGTAAGTGGAAAATAAGGATCACAGTGACCTACATACCGGGGTATAGTGTAGTTCTCCTTAAGTTTATATGAGATTTGATGACAGAAGGTCTAATGATACCAGAGAAAGTCTCAGGCCATAACTGTAGCTAAAGACAAATTCAAAGTCAGTGAAGTGGAAAATATAGGTCACAGTGACCTACATACAGAGGTATAGTGTAGTTCTCCTTAAGTTTATATGAGATTTGATGACGGAGGGTCTAATGATACCAGAGAAAGTCTCAGGCCATAACTGTAGCTAAAGACAAATTCAAAGTCAGTGAAGTGGAAAATATAGGTCACAGTGACCTACATGTCTCATAACAATATAGTACTCTGAATGATATGGGACTTGCAATGTCAGAGAAATTTAGCTAACAGCAAAGTCTGATCAGGATGTCGTACAAAAAGACAGATCAATGGACAAACAGATCAACAGGGGACGGACCCGGGCTGAGTGGACAGGGAATAAGGTGGTGGGGCATAAAAATGAAAATCATTTATAATATATAAATCATATTTTACACATTTGAATTATCACTGTGAAACATATGACCTTTTAATATTTATCTCTTTGTATCATCAATCTTGCTAAACACTAAAACATGTGAAGAAGGCCATGCCTTGATCTGTGACAGCAGCAAACTACGACTGTGGTACTTAAATAAAAGTCCATACAACAAGTGCCTTTGATATCACCACTCCACGTTACCGCTACCACTCAAGTTAGCCTGGCAGGAGGTAAATAAAACAACACGGCACATATAAACATGTTCTGAAATAAAGTATTAATCAATGTTTTTCAAATAATAATCAAACTCCACTGACTGTTATTAAAAAACGTATGCCTGTCTATTTAGATACCATTGGGAGCTTTGAAAATCAGTGAGAGCGGTTTAAATGAATATACAAAATGTATTACTATCGAAATCGTAAGTAGAAAGTAAGAAATTGATGTCTACATTTCCATAACACATTGTAACAATAATTATATATAGTAAATCCATCAGATATATCTCCCTAATACTGAACTAGGCGCAGACCAGAAATAGGCACGCATCAGTAATTTAAGTGTTTTTGATCAAGTCTATATTATCATTTGAAGGTAGAAAGTTATACAGAAACGTTGGCCTCATAACAAAAGACTGAAAACTCCTTTACTTTTATTCCATTCCATCCTATTTGACATACCTGATTGGTCTTGCTGGTTTCCTTTATGCCTTACATTGTTAAACCAACTTAAAGTAAAACAGTGGAATATGGAAAGGACTTTGTGATAGCACAAGGTGAACGGTAGTTGAATGTACACTATATTAAATACCACCAGTGTCTAAAGCTAAATCATAAAGGCTGATGCAGCTTCTCTGGAGGTTTGTCAATGGTGGAAAGTATTTCTAATGAGAGAAACACCATACAGGTCTTGACACCAGGGGCCTGTTCGTTTATGCAGAACAACCGGTTTGACCATTTATAAATGTAACAATTTCGGGTATAAATCCTGTTCATGCAGGCCTTGCAAAGCTTCGTCAAGGCTCGCCTGAAAGCAGCATCAGATTACTAGGTCCAACCTTATTTGATAAATGATCAACAGTGGTCTGACCGGTTTAACAGTTTAAACGAAAACGGCCCTGTATGAATGAATGGGGGTTTATGATTAAGGGGAGGTAATCAAGTATTTGCCATCAATTTGAAATGAGATTTAGTACCATAATAAAATGCCTGGGTGATCTTCATAATACCAAATACATTATTTCAATGTTTTTCTTTAACTTTTTCCCTCATAAAAATAATTATATAATACGTTTTTGTGAATTTTATTTTATTATTATAGATCAGAAATGATGCTTTTCCAGAACAGCATTAAATTAGGGCTATTCTAATTATCATTAAATTGGGGCAATCTAAATTAATTGTAACCATTTCTAAAGTGGGGCACAGGAAACAAAAATGGGTGGCAAGAGTAAGCCTCCTTGCACCAATCCCATGATATATATTTTATTCTAGAATAGTCCTTAAAAAATGAGATATTATAGGAAAACAAAAGTTAAGAAATCCTGGGACCTTCTTTGTTTAACCGTGTTAAAATAGGATTACTATTAATTAGTAATTAAATACATAAATAAAATGTGTGTATGTATACGCTAGGGAAAAAATAACACTTTTTAATGGTATCGTTTGAGCTGATCTTCAGCTGTAATTATCAGATCTTAGGAAATAGGAATAGTTTAGCAAATTCACAGGTTGAAAAATGCTCAATTTAAGGGTCCAAAATCGGGAGTCTCCCTCCTAAACAGGGGAGTTGGCAAGTAGAAAATTTCTACTCTTATGGTCTAAATAGGCATACTGGCGTCTCCCAACATCATATAGTAGGTCTGTCTGTACCGACATAATCACTGGTACATTTAGTAGTGTGGCATGGGAACCTGCAGACTAACTCAGTCAAATCATGCTATCCTTATCATTAATATAGCATTTAGCATACGTTGTAAATAAAGAAGTCTTCATGACATTGTTTTGTGTTATCCCACACTTATTATATATTTGTAATTGTATTCAAACTGGATATCTAAAACAGAGAGATTTGTTAATATCTTACCGTCATCCTCTTTAAGATTTTTCCTCTTTTCTTTTTGTTGTCTCTGTCTTTCCTGCAACAAAGAAGTGACAAGGTTTTGTAAATGTTTTGTTTACAGATTCAAAGAAGTATTTACATCTACGGAATTAGTTATTTTACAGAAACTGGTGAGAAATAATATCTTTAACAACAGACAAGAGAATATCATATAAAGTTGTAGTCATGAAATTATTACCTCTTCCAGTCTCCTCCTTTCATCGTCGCGTTGTTTCCTCAGTCTGTCTTTCTCTTCCTCGAGCAATTTCTGTCTGCGTAGTCGATCTGATAAATAATCCCAAGAATTATGGATGAGCAATGTATCATGTCATGTTCCATTGAAAGATTCTGGAAACACTTGAAAGTATAGCATGTCATTCATGTAAATAAATATGCTTCATCTGTCAAGAAATTGAATAATCTGGCACTTTTCTCTGGCAAACACAAAGCCGGAGTTTCCTCTGGCCCTGACACCAGACTTGGACATTTTGTCTGGTCCCCACACCAGACATCTATCTTTCAAAATGTCGAAGTCTGGTGTCAGGGCCAGAGGAAACTCTGGCTAGGATACATAGTGCCTGGGATAATAAAATTTGTCTGTATTTAGGACCATGATTTGAAATAATAAACTGTTCCTTCAGACTATTGGAGTCAAAATAAAAGGGTTTACAGTAAATCTACTAGTGTACACAGATAGTGACCTTCCCTCTCCCTCTCCAGCTCCAGCTCTTCATCTCTGCTTTCGCCACGACTCGGTATACTGCACAGGAGCACCTCTATCTCGGCAAAGGCCACACCACTTCCTGGTATCGCTCGTGACTTAAGAAATGTCTCCCATTTCTTCCTGGAGAAAAACTTGCCATGAACTGTTTGTACCATCCACCTGAAATAACAGTTATAATATTTTTGTGATGCGGTTCCACTTTTTTGTATTTCTAATCAAGGTAAGAACATGAGTGTAGAGGAGGTAAATTATAAACAAACTCCACTACTCATTTAACCCATTCATCCCTAAAGTCACATTTGAAACTTATCAAATCAATGACTGGGCAAGTCCAGTTTAAAATTGAAGGGGTGAATGAGTTGAGTCTTCATTACCCACAAAGATTTTTTTTTTTATAAAAGTGACCTCCTCCCATATATCTGGAATACACTAATGCTTAACACTATAGTTCTAAATGAAATAAACAAAGTTTTGAAGTGAGATGATATTACTTCCCAATGTCCTACCTACAATTGTAGTTTCCACCTCTGAAATGTAAAATACTATATATGTTTTTCGTATTAGTTTCATCATCTGGAATGTGTTATACAATATCCTACCCTAGCCTTTTTCTCTGAGATGTTACTCTTCAATTATTCCTACCCAGCCTCCTCTGAAATGTTGTTACTTGATAATGTCCTACCTAGATTCTTCTCTTGAAATGATGTTACTATACATTATTCTACCAAACTTCTTCCTCTGAGAACACATAACTACCCTGTCCTACCTACCTTCCTCCTCCCAGATGCTTTTACTACAGTTTTACCTAGCTTCTTCATCTGAAATGATGTTATTATACAATGGCCTATCTACCTACCTACCCCCTCTCAGACTTCCTTGATACTCCAGAATTATGTTCACTTTCACTCTCTGCACTCCATGGCAAAATCAAAGGCTCAGTGTGCACCAACTTGGCTTTTAAGTTTGATGTTGCACCTCTGTAAACCTTCAAAAGACAGGTATCAGCCCTAGCGGTCAACCAGGTTTTTAAAACCTGAGACCAATCAAATAGCTAGTCGCTTGCCTTCAATTTTGCTATGAAATATTTCAGGGGTGCACAGAGAGCGAAAGTGAGCATAAACCCTGGGGTATCAAGGTTGCCTCCCAACTACCGTAAGTAATGTCTTACCTGGCTTCTTCCTCAGAAATTGTGTCCTTCTGGTGGCGGTCAATCAATGAGAACTCCCAGCGAAGGTCTTGTACCAGGTAGTACCGCCGGTCCATCTCCTGTAGCAGGTTGAGTAGTTCTGACCGCTGACAGTGGTCACCAACACATGCATACTTGATTGACGCCACAACCTGAGAAGGAGAAGGGGCTGGGGTATCATAGAATATATATCTTCTATTTTTATACAATATGTTTTGTAATATATGTTATGGACTTTATATTATATATATATTCAAACACTACATTATACCAAAGTATGCATTTTTTATGTAATATATGTAATATAGAACATGTACTACTTAACATATCTTATCATCATTTGTTCAACAATATTCTGATAATTTATGCCAAAGGCAATTAAAATAATTAATATCAATGCAATAACCAAATAAATTGAAGAGGTCTGAAAAACTTTTTTATGTATTGATTAAAATCCATTTCTTAAAACTTAAATTTATTTGAGTAATTTGCTTAGGTGCCATTATTTAATCAGTGTTATTATATACACAAATATTGAACTACCAGTATCAGTGTATGACAAATATTGCTTCTGGCTACTGTGTTATGCTCAGTGTTTTCTCTATCTTTTCCATACATCCTATCAAGTTTTGAAAAGCAATGAGTGATTCTATGTAAAATCAGTGAATTTTCAAAAATTCTCAAAATGAATAAAATTGTAAATACATTTGTATTAGACTCATTAATTAGATCATAAATCAAAAGTAAATAAAAGACTGAAATATAGTAATTTTGGATGATGGTATACTTTGAAGATTTCTACAAAAAAATGTATTTTTTTAGTAAGACTTCAAAGCTTTTATCACAAATACAAAACTACTTCAAAACTTTCTACTTCTCAGAAATGACAAATGTTTCCGCTGTATTTTTTTTGTGGGGACTATCTTGGTCGTGAAAATAGGCAAAAATGAGAACTGCATAAAATATAATATTATGCTATAAATAAATATATACATGTTTGGAAGAAGTGAATTTTCAGTGAAACTATATGTATTGATATTTTACCTGTGGTAGACTGATTCCTCCGACTCTCAGGTCTCCATGGAGGGCCTGCATCAGTATGGCATTTAACTCCCCTTTGCATGAGGAATCATACTGCTTGAAGACATGTTGCAGCACCTGCTGGTCGGGGCTGACATTTATTAGTTCTCCCATATATCTGCATGGACAGTGTACCACCAAGTTTGCTAAATGAGAAAGACACATACATGCAGATAGGATATTGAACAGACACATTTGAAACCTGAAACAGTGTTAAATTTATACAAATACATGAACATATATATAACAAAGTACATGTAGTATAGATATAGAATACTCTTTTACTTTAATGAATATATCCCAAAGTTTTTAAACATTGCTTTATTGTAATATGAGAAAATGCGTGTAGCTATCTTCATGGGAGTCAACTTCAAACATAATTTGCATGTGTTAAAATAAGTGTAAATTATATCGTTTAATTACCCATACATGTTATGAAATTTGAACATAGACTGGCCATATAATTGGTCAAGATCAATTATTCCTGAAACACCAGCTGTCACTTGTTAACTGTAAATTGTACCCAAGTGTCACTCACTGTCATTTAATTGTTATTTGGGTGCCTACCAATGCTTTTCTTTTTTCTTTCTGCTATGCAAACTGTATACTTACATGGATCAAAATGTACAGTATCCGATATGCTTGGAATCTATCTCAATCATGCAACGGTGGCGGCCATTTATAAACAAATCAATTCCAACCCAATTTTGTTTGGACGAATTTGATTGGTCAGATTAGTGGCGATTGAGCCAATAGGATATACTTTTATATGATTCATTTCCTCATCATCCAACATGGCAGATTTCAATGAAGGGGTGTACTGCAAAATATGATATACATAATGAATTATGTATTTTTTGAAAACTGTGGTTTGTAAAAGTGCAATTATAATTTCAAGATGAATCCTGATATCGAAGCGAACATACGGAAAAATTTGCCATGGCTTAAACTCCCTCCAAACGTGCGCCAGGTATGCACCGTTTTATGGATCTGAAGACGTGAATTAAATTCACAAGTGTCAAAATTATGATCACGAGACTGCACGGAAGTGACAGTTAATGAAAAAACCGTATATTGTATAATACATTATGTTATTTTGCTTTTTACACTTTTGTTGTACAGACAGCCATATAAAAATGATAAAAACAGTATCCGTCAAGTTGCGGATTCACTGTGGCAGAGATTTTTCGGCCCAAGATGTTTTAAGAAATAATTCCAAGCCTGGTTGGTTGGTTGCTGTCAATTCCCTTTAGCGCTGGAAAACCATCTAGATCCACCATGTTGTGGTGTTATAAAACTATGTATAAAAACCGATCATATTTTTCATGGAAAATGAAAAGTTGAATGGGCTTTGTAGGCTTGCAGCCCAAGTTTCCTCTTAGCCTCAACACCAGACTAGTTTTATACCAGAGATCTATCTGTCAAAATGTCAAAAAGGTTTGAGGGTCCCCACAACAGCTAATATAAGGTCATATGAAGTCTGGCTAACTGATGATGGGCAACTTTATAATAAAGTGCAAACTAAATGAAATGCCATTAACTGGACATGTCGAAATTAAGTTATAGATTAACAGGCCAGGATACCTTACTATTTACTAAACACACGTGCATTAGAGTTGCCTTCAATAAGATTTATCAGTTTCTACACAAACGATGTCTAGTCTCTTTAATTTGCCAAGCAATAAAACAGAATAATTTGTTATGGATAGGGTAGCAGGAACCTTTGCTAGTATAACAGCACACTGTGATATTAATGTTAGGTTACCAGAATATTGTTACACATTCAAATGTAGTAGGGTGACAGGATACTTTATTCTAATTATCAAACAGTTTTGGATTTTCAAAACATGTACAAGTAGAAGTACAAATATTTGCCAACTCTCTCTTGCTCTTGGGGGGAAAATCCTGATATTGGACCCTAAAATTGAACAATTTGGATCAGTGAATTTACTGATGATTTTATCTGAAAGAACAACTCAAAAGATGCCATTTGAAAGAGTTGTTTTTTCCCTCAGTAGTATACAAACATTTTATTTATGTTTAAAATTTGTGCATGCAAAATCTCCCACATGGACATTTTAAAAAAAGTTGCCAAGTATGAGTAAAGACAGCCGTCTCTCTTTATGTATAGGTAATATCAGTACTGTATACTATTTTATTTGAATTTAACCAATATTTTTTTCTCTTTTCAGGTTTTGGGCAATTCTCAAAAGGAATATGAAAAAGCTGTTGGTCAATTTAGTGTGAAAAATCAACTACGGTACAAGGGGAATTTAGGTATGTTAAATTTTCCTTGTTCAATAATCAGGCAAGAAAAAACAGTATTGTAACTTAAATTAACGTACCCTGTAATATACACCTTAGTTTATTGGACATTTATAAGATATATGGTGTCAACAAACAACATGTTGATATAGAGTGAAAAACTTTCTTGAAAATGAAGCAAAAGAAAATACTTATACATGTACATGAAGATGAAATACTCTGAATTTATGAAGGAAGATAACTTTTTCTTGAAACTGAAAATGCCTACATAATTTTAAAAGGCCACATTTGAAGCAGATAATCAGATTGACCATTTAATATTGATTATTTAAGTCCTCTTGGTTTCATCAATTTATCTCGCTTTGGCTCCTGGTCAGGTAGCTTTATATAGTAGATCTTGAAATTTTGCTTGAATTTACACATCAAAAATATACATACTGTATACCACATTTAGATAAAAAAAAAAATGATCCATTTTATATCAACAATAATGCATATAACATTTGTTTGTATAATTTGTGGCAGTGTTACCCTTGTCTATTCTGTCCGGTCCGGACCGAATCAAAAACCTGAAGTAAGACTGAAATGATACAGTCATATTATAATTATGACATAATGTTTTGTGAATACAGTGAAGACGGTGCGCAAAGATGAGAAGCGTTACTATGAGGAGATGTTGCGTTACAGTCAGGAGCACCTGATGCTCTACCCATACCACCTGTCGGACGTCGTGGTGAAGGGGCTGCGTGTCACACCATTCACCTACTATGTCAACATGATGTCCACCATCATGACACAGGAGAAGAGCTACGACTCACTTCCCAATTTCACTGCTGCTGATTGTGAGTGTACTCCAGTTGATCAATTCGTTTTTAGCTCACCTGCCCGTAGGGCAAGTGAGCTTATGCCATGGTGCAGCGTCTGTCAACCGTCCGTCGTCAACTTTTTACTTTAAACAATTTCTTCTCAATAACCAAAAGGCCCAGGGTACTGATATTGGGCCTGTAGCATGCTGGGATGAATGGCTACCAAGTTTGTTAAAATGAATGACCTTGACCAACTTTCAAGGTCACAGGGGTCAGATGTTTCAAAATCTTCAAACAACTTCTCAATAACCAAAAGGCCCGGGCTACTGAAATTAGGCCTGTAGCATGCTGGGATGAAGGGCTACCAAGTTTGTTCAAATGAATGACCTTGACCCACTTTCAAAGTCACTGGGGTCAGATGTCTTAAAATCTTCAAACAACTTCTTGTCAATAGCCAAAAGGTCCAGGGTACTGATATTGGCCCTGTAGCATGCTGGGATGAAGGGCTACCAAGTTTGTTAAAATGAATGACCTTGACCAACTTTCAAGGTCACAGGGGTCAGATGTTTCAAAATCTTCAAACAACTTCTCAATAACCAAAAGGCCCGGGCTACTGAAATTAGGCCTGTAGCATGCTGGGATGAAGGACTACCAAGTTTGTTCAAATGAATGACTTTGACCAACTTTCAAGGTCACAGGGGTCAAATGTTGTAAAATCTTCAAATGACTTCTTCTCAATAACCAAAAGGTCCAGGGGACTGATATTAGGCCTGTAGCATGCTGGGATGAAGGACTACCAAGTTTGTTAAAATGAATGACCTTGACCAACTTTCAAGGTCACAGGGGTCAGATGTTTCAAAATCTTCAAACAACTTCTCAATAACCAAAAGGCCCAGGGTACTGATATTAGGCCTGTAGCATGCTGGGATGAAGGCCTACCAAGTTTGTTAAAATGAATGACCTTGACCAACTTTCAAGGTCACAGGGGTCAGATGTTTCAAAATCTTCAAACAACTTCTCAATAACCAAAAGGCCCGGGCTACTGAAATTAGGCCTGTAGCATGCTGGGATGAAGGGCTACCAAGTTTGTTAAAATGAATGACCTTGACCAACTTTCAAGGTCACAGGGGTCAGATGTTTCAAAATCTTCAAACAACTTCTCAATAACCAAAAGGCCCAGGCTACTGAAATTAGGCCTGAAGCATGCTGGGATGAAGGACTACCAAGTTTGTTCAAATGAATGACTTTGACCAACTTTCAAGGTCACAGGGGTCAAATGTTGTAAAATCTTCAAATGACTTCTTCTCAATAACCAAAAGGTCCAGGGAACTGATATTAGGCCTGTAGCATGCTGGGATGAAGGACTACCAAGTTTGTTAAAATGAATGACCTTGACCAACTTTCAAGGTCACAGGGGTCAGATGTTTCAAAATCTTCAAACAACTTCTCAATAACCAAAAGGCCCGGGCTACTGAAATTAGGCCTGTAGCATGCTGGGATGAAGGACTACCAAGTTTGTTAAAATGAATGACCTTGACCAACTTTCAAGGTCACAGGGGTCAGATGTTTCAAAATCTTCAAACAACTTCTCAATAACCAAAAGGCCCAGGGTACTGATATTGGACCTGTTGCATACTGGGATGAAGGACTACTAAGTTTGTTCAAATGAATGACTTTGACCAACTTTCAAGGTCACAGGGGTCAAATGTTGTAAAATCTTCAAATGACTTCTTCTCAATAACCAAAAGGTCCAGGGTACTGATATTAGGCCTGTAGCATGCTGGGATGAAGGACTACCAAGTTTGTTAAAATGAATGACCTTGACCAACTTTCAAGGTCACAGGGGTCAGATGTTTCAAAATCTTCAAACAACTTCTCAATAACCAAAAGGCCCAGGCTACTGAAATTAGGCCTGTAGCATGCTGGGATGAAGGACTACCAAGTTTGTTCAAATGAATGGCCTTGATCCACTTTCAACCTGATGTCCTTGTTCGACATTCAAGGTCACAGGCGTCATATGTTTAAATCTTTTAATAGGTTCTTATGGGCGGATTTGTCGATTGGTTAACACTCCGGCTTCCAAGCAGGCAGCCGGGGTTCGATCCCCGAAGTCGCCGTACGCATGGAATATTAGAGAAAGTGTTATTCTCCTGCCCACACAACTCCAACAACCCAGGTGGAGTATAAAATGGTCTGGGGTGGGTGTTGCGGTATCTGTGCTGTAGCATTCAAGTGAGGTGGCACTATAAATGATACCGTTGGAAGCACGGTCCCACTGCAAACAGAACACAATACATATCCAGTACACATACAGACATACACACCTATGGAGATATTAGCCAGGTGGCATAGGACTAGTAGTTAGCGCTTGATAAGGCAGCTCCTGCAAATTCCTCAATATTGTATAGATTAATATATATATATGCTAATTGTATTGACTGTATAAATTGTATATCTATGTACTGTAAAGCGCTTTAGAGTGGCTTATCTTGGCTAGATAGGGCGCTATATCAAATGTTGTATATTATTATTAGCTCACCTGGCACGAAGTGCCAAGTGAGCTTATGCCGTGGCGCGTCCGTCGTCCGTCCGTCCGTCCGTCCGTCCTCGTCCGTCAACTTTTCCTTTAAACAACTTGTTCTGAAGAACGGACAGGCCTAGAGTCATGATATTTGGCTGAAAGCTTCGTTGGTAGGAGCCCTACAAAGTTTGAGAACGAAAATGACCTTGACCTGTTTTCAAGGTCACAGGGGTCAAATATGTCAAAAACTTCAAACGACTTCTTCT